TTTGAAGCCATTAAGTTTATTCTTAGAAACATACCCAAAGATAACAGAGACAGAAATCTTGAATACAAAGAAATAACTACCATTTTAGGGGACTGGTAAACTAAATTAATTATAAATTACATTTATCAATTTAATATAATTATAATTGAAATCCCAATGGATTTTGTTTTCTATCTGAACTCTGAGGTTCTAACAATTATTTGAAAGAATAAACAGATGAGATTAATCAAGTTTTTTGATACTACATTCATGTGTTATTCATACATATTTTTCTCATAAAAAAGTTAGCATTCAAGTCATAAAACAACCAAATATGATAGCTTATGGGTTAATATGCCTAATACACAAAGAACTTACACATATTGGCAGGAAAAATGTTAAGACCCTAGGGAAATGAGCAAAGGACATACATAGACAATTTACAAAGTAGGAAATATAATGGGCTAGCTAATAAAGATGGAGAAAATCCCAATTTACAAATAATAAAAGATGTGAATTAAAACAAGATTTTTTTGCTAATAAAATCAGCAATATTTTTTAAAGCAACAATACTCAATAAGGTGGAGATAGGATGAGATGGATACTTTTTTTTATCATTAATCTACAATTACATGAAGAACATTATGTTTACTAGGGTTCCCCTCTTCACCAAGTTCCCCCCACAAACCCCATTACAGTCACTGTACATCAGTGTAGTAAGATGTTGTAGAATCACTACTTGTCTTCTCTGTGTTGCATAGCCCTCCCCATGCCCCCCCATATTATACATGCTAATTGTAATATCCCCTTTCATTTTCCCCACCCTTATCCCTCCCTTCCCTCCCATTCTCCCCAGTCCCTTTCCCTTTCATAACTCTTAGTCCATTCTTAGGTTCTGTGATTCTGCTGCTGTTTTGTTCCTTCAGTTTTTCTTTGTTCTTATACTCCACAGATGAGTGAAATCATTTGGTATTTGTCTTTCTCCTCCTGGCTTATTTCACTGAGCGTAATACCCTCTAGCTCCATCCATGTTGTCGCAAATAGTAGGATTTGTTTTCTTCTTACGGCTGAATAATATTCCATTGTGTACCACATCTTCTTTATCCATTCATGCTTCCATTTCTTGGCTATTGTAAATAGTGCTGTGATAAACATAGGGGTGCATCTGTCTTTTTCAAACTGGGCTGCTGCATTCTTAGGGTAAATTCCTAGAAGTGGAATTCCTGGGTCAAATCGTATGTCTATTTTGAGCTTTTTGAGGAACCTCCATTCTGCTTTCCACAATGGTTGAACTAATTTACATTCCCACCAGCAGTGTAGGAGGATTCCCCTTTCTCCACAACCTCACCAACATTTGTTGTTGTTTGTCTTTTGGATGGTGGCCATCCTTACTGGTGTGAGGTGATATCTCATTGTGGTTTTAATTTGCATTTCTCTGATGACTAGTGATGTGGAGCATCTTTTCATGTGTCTGTTGGTCATCTGAATTTCTTCTTTGCAGAACTATCTATTCAGCTCCTCTGCCCATTTTTTAATTGGATTATTTGCTTTTTGTTTGTTGAGGTGCGTGAGCTCTTTATGTATTTTGGATGTCGAGCCTTTATCAGATCTGTCATTTATGAATATATTCTCCCATACTGTAGGGTACCTTTTTGTTCTATTGATGGTGTCCTTCGCTGTACAGAAGCTTTTCAGCTTGATGTAGTCCCACTTGTTCATTTTTGCCTTTGTTTCCCTTGCCCGGGGAGATACCTTCATGAAGAAGTCGCTCATGTTTATGTCCAAGAGATTTTTGCCTATATTTTTTTCTAAGAGTTTTATGGTTTCATGACTTAAATTCAGGTCTTTGATCCATTTCAAATTTACTTCTATGTAAGGGGTTAGACAGTGATCCAGTTTCATTCTCTTACATGTAGCTGTCCAGTTTTGCCAACACCAACTGTTGAAGAGGCTGTCATTTCCCCATTGTATGTCCATGGCTCCTTTATCGTTTATTAATTGACCATATATGTTTGGGTTAATGTCTGGAGTCTCTTTTTGATCCACTGATCTGTGGCTCTGTTCTTGTGCCAGTACCAAATTGTCTTGATTACTGTGGCTTTGTAGTAGAGCTTGAAGTTGAGGAGTGAGATCCCCCCCACTTTATTCTTCCTTCTCAGGATTGCACTAGCTATTCAGGGTTTTTGGTGGTTCCATATGAATTTCAGAACTATTTGCTCCAGTTCGTTGAAGAATGTTGTTGGTAATTTGATAGGGATTGCATTGAATCAGTATATTGCTTTGGGCAGGATGGCCATTTTGACGATACTAATTCTTCCTAGCCAAGAGCATGGGATGAGTTTCTATTTGTTAGTGTCCTCTTTAATTTCCCTTAAGAGTGTCTTGTAGTTTTCAGGGTAGCATGTCTACTCTTTTGATTTGCTTTTAGTTTATGTGGGATTTTGGCCTCTGTTTTTTAGTGAGATTGGCCTGTAGTTTCCTTCCAGTCCACTCCCACTTTTTGATGTGTGTACTTTCCTTGTCCAGCTGTATGAAAGGGATAATTCTGTTCTTACAGAACAAGGTGGGAGATGGGAAGCATTTAATTTTTTTCCATATTCTAAAACATACAGCACAGAAATTAATCAGTTCCTTGATGGTTTTAGGGGTTTGACCTATAAAGCCATTTGGACCTGTTTTCAGTCAGTCTGAACCTGCTGGTGCCACATTGATGCACAACTAGAGCACAGATCCAACCATGTGGTTCCTTCTTCCTCTTCAGCTTGCTGTGGCCTCAGGGACAGTTAGTTTTGATAAGAGAGTAGAGGTCATTGAGGATCCTTTACCGTGGCTAAACTGAAGCACAGAATAAAGATCAAGATCTGATTTCTACCTGATAAAGTATTAACTCAAGACCCTAGTCTCTATCTTAGTTAAATGGGTATATAATTACTAGGCAGGGTCTAGTGGTAATTCTTTTCTTACAGATAAAGGAGCTATTATTAGATTAAGACTTACTAACTTGGAAGCTTCTACCACTTGCCTCAGTGTTCAGACTGCCAGATGGTGTGATATTAAGGAAAGCAATGGCCTGTGGATCAGGCTGTCTGTATGCAGCTAGCTGTGTGATCCTGGACAAATCACCTAACCTCTCTGGGTTTTGGTTTTCCCATCTGCTCTAATGAGGAGGTTGGCCTAAGTCAGTGATTGTTGTGGTCATGGGAGTAGTAGGGATTGTCTTAGAATCTCGTTGGGCTTTGGAAAAATGAATTTTTAAAAGTTGAGAAACAAACCTTCATGTAAATCCATGTATGACATTTATGGGACAGTCAAAACTTTGAACACTGACTGGGTAATTGTTGGTAGTGAGGAACTGTTAAACTTTTTATGTGTAATAATGGTGTTTAACTTTGAAAAAATCTTTAAAAAAATTTTAGGTTACCTACTGCAATATTTATAGATAGAATGAATTTAAAAAGAAAGTTTGTGTGTAAACACTGGCTAGATATCTCTAAGATCTGTGCAAGCACTTAATTATCTGTTTCGTTTCTACCACTCTGTGTTTCCTTTATGGAACTGAACAATTATGTACTTGCAGCTGAGAAATTGCAGGAGGCAGGGGAGGGACAGAGGCTGTGCTAGTCCTATGCACAGGACTCTCTGTGCAGCAGAGTCCTGAGAATGGCCTCCTTTCCTGTGGTCACAAGATCTTACTTCTCTCTGACCACATGTGGATCTCCCTGTCTACACCTCTCTGGCCATGCTGTGACCTTGTTCAGGCTGGCAGGCAGCCCCTCTTGCCCGCCCAACTCAGGGGCCTTACTGCTGTGCTTGCGGTAGCCCCTAGAAAGTAGGCTCGGGCTCTCAGGTGATCTGATCAAGCCCTGCCCACAGTAGGTGGATCCTTTCAAGTTTGGATTGTCAAACCCTTCTTCATTCCTCCTCACCTGGGCCCTCCATCTGCCCTGCTTTGCTGCATTCTCAGAGACCTGTTAGGAGTTTTCCACAGGTGAAATCTAGAAAAATGGGGAAAACCCTGCTGAGAAGATACCACCTGTCTGCTTTCCTTCCTTCTTCCTATGCTTCAGGGTTCAAGAATTTGTGATATCCTCCACACCTAAAAGGATGGACAAGACCTGAAGAAATGATATTGTCAAGAACAGTCATGGAAAACTTCCCTTCAACATTATCACCCTTAACAACTCACCTGTTCCCTTTCCCTGCATTAACTTCCTGTCCTATACATGATAATAAGAGTGAATCTTTGTACTTGAATACATTTATACTCTAGGTGCTTTATGCAGATTGTTTCATTTAATCCCACAAACCCCTGGGGAGTAGGTGCTGTCTTCTATATTTTACAGGTGAGGAAAAGGAGGCTCAGAGAGCATAAGTCACTTGCCCTATTCTGACTCCAGAGTCCATGTTTTATTAACCACTGGCTGCTGGAACACATGTCCTTGTACATCCAGCTTTTTCCCTCTTGAGATTTCTTTGGAATAAATTCTCAGGAGTGAGATGATTGGGTCAGAGGGTCTGGATGTGTTGACCTGGCAAAGTTTTGACCCTTGTTCACCACCTCTTCTGCCACAGCACCTGCCTCCAGCACCCTGAAGATGCCATGCGCTATGTCCTCCTTTACCAGGTTGGTGATGGCTGTCCCACGATGAGCCCTGGACATGTGCCGTCCTGCTGAGCTATCCGTTTGTCTGAAGACCTCTTGAAGACAGTCATTTTTGCCTCCCCACCAGTTGTCTTCAGGGCTGTGCCTCTGAGTCTTGTGAAACCATTAGGCTGGGTGATGTGGTGCCAACAAGGGGAGCACTGTCTTTCCAGCACTTACACATCTGGTTCCCAGAGCCCCCAGGCTCCTCAAGTATACAAGTATATGTGGCCGGGCATGGATCAGAAGCACTTCTTCCCCAGCCTTAGCTGTGACTTGATCCTGGTTGCAGTGCTAGACACCTCACCGCGTTTGATAAAGAAGTTCCTTTTGGAAGTCTGTGCTGCCTCCATGCTAAGTTGGGAGGGGACATCTGCATGGTCTGGATCTGTGGGAGTTAGGATTGAGAGCCTTTGCAGAGGACTGAGATCATCCTGGCCCACCAGACCATTGTTTGCTACCAGAAGGGTTGTTTTGAACATCACTGTTGCCTTCTCTGAGCAGCCATGGGAGAGTGTTTTCCATGCAGCTCCCTTTTAGGAACTGCATCAGGTACTGAATAGCCTACAGAGACCTGGGAACTCCTAATCTCAAACCCATGATAAGGCAAAGGGAACAAGGCTGTGTCACCTTTCAGGCCCTTTAGCCCCTGCGGATGTTGGGTAACAGCAGTTACCAGGAGGTAAATAGCCAGACTGTTTTCATCACTCTTTGGGCAACTCTGTATCCAGAAAGCCAGGAGATCCAGAAAGGCTGAGAATAGGATGGAACAAACGAAGTGGCTTGAAGTGCCAGTTAAGTCTTGCTGTGAAAACAGTTTGGGCTTGAGGCTTTGCATCTCACACCTGAGGAGCTGTTGATTCAGTTGGAGGTGAGAAGAAGGTATGTCAATTAGAGGGAAGAAACTTCAACCCCTAAAATTTTATCTCCAGGGCTTGGAAGTAGAACACAGATACCCAGTTAAGTTAATATCTTGGCTATCCCAGGAAGTTTAGGCATCAAGACAACGAATGCCATGCTTTGGTATTTCTATTTCCATCCCATATGACTGTTTTGTCTTCTTGGTTAGAAAAAGGGAGATTATTGGCCCAGACTCCACTGTGCAGGGCTCTTGGTGCCAGCCTCAACCCTGGAGAAGTGATTGCTGGATATGAGCTCTGACCCCTCTTTACTTCCTCACATTACTTGTGTGCAGAGGTAGTTTTAGATTTGGCTTAGTACCTATCTTTCAGAGTAGGCTTCCTTCTCTTCCAGAGCCTAGAATATTTCCAGCCAAGGTAATAAATAAGGCAACTCAAATGTAACTCTTTGGTATCTGTAGTCAGGGAGGGGCCACAGCATGCCATGGCTGGCATTGTGGTCTAGGGTCCTGACCCATGGTGCAGCATATATCCTAATCAGGCCACCTGAGTTCAGTCCAGAAGCCTCACCTGCTAGTCTGAGTGACAACCACAAGGGGGAGTGTCCAGTGTGCAGGAGTCTCAGACAAGGCAGACAGTGCTGCAGATGGGGCTGGGGGGTATATGTGAAGAGTGGAGAGTGCATCTTAAACATATATCCTCCCTCCCTGGCCTCCTGCACAGCTGGTCTCAGCAGTGATTCACACAGGTAGGCTGCATTCTTGCATTAGCTGATAGGTAATTGCTTTCTGAAACTCAGGAGGCATTTATTAAGTTTGAGAGATACCAAAGCTACAGAGACATCCATGGGTCAGGGGTTTAATAACTTCATAGGTATAATGGTAGTGCACCAACAGGAACTGAGGACAGTAAGGCTATGTGAGACTATGAAGCTTTTAGCAATCATTTAGGACAGACAGAGGGTCCTGAACAACCCATTCATGACTTAGTGCAGCCTTGACAACACTGCTCCTGAAAAATGCTGGCCCAGTGTGTGCTTGGGCCAGAGGAAAAACTGACACATTGGCCTATGTTTGTAAATCCTGGTGTGCTTCCCATGGTTGACTTCCTGAGGCTTGGGTTACACACTGTGAAGAATGCCCAAGCTAGAGAAGCATTGTTGCGAGGACATTAATTCTTCCTTATTTTGGAGGGATGGGCTGAAGGGGGAAGTGGTTGAAGTTACAGTCATGTTCCCCAGTTCCACACTTCTCCAACCATACTTCTTGAAATGTAAAACGAGGTTTTCCTTTACCTATAACATACAGGACCTGGAGTTCGTAACCTCAGGTTATACTATTAGCCCAAACTGGAAGGATCGAGAAGGTTTTAGTTAAATTGTGGATGACAGGTGCATGTTGATGCACTATGGAAGATGTCCTTGTGCTTTGAGTAGAGGTCACTGATGAAGACCTGTGTATTCTTCTTGGTCCTGCATGTCATTCTATGTCATCTTATCCCTTTAACCATAATCAAGATGCAGAACTATTCCATTACCATGAAGACCTCCCCCACAATGCCCCTTTATAGTCAAACCCATCCACTCCCCCCTCACCATTTCTAACCTGTAGGAGCCTCTAATCATTTCTACATCTCTGTGTATAGAATGATATATAAATAGATTCTTACAATACATGACCTTTGGAGGTTGGCTCTTTTCCACTCAGCATAATTTCCCTGATGTCTGACCAAGTTATGTGTATCAGTTCATCTCTTTACTGCCGAGTATGAATGTTCCATGGTATGGATATATGACAGATTCTGTAGCTGTTCATCTATTGAGGGATGCCTTAATTGTTTAACATTTTGGGCTATTACAAATAAAACTGCTCTGAGCAATTTTAAACTAATTTTTGTGTGAACATTAGTTTTCATTTCTCTGGGATAAATGCCCACAAGTGTGGTTATTGGGTCATATGGTAAGTTTTTAGTTTTCTAAGAAATTACCAGGTAAGATTAAAGATGGTGGTATGAGAGGTGAAACAGAGGCCTCCTTCCAAAACCATATATAATACGAAATGTAATTAATAACAATCCTGAAAGAACAACAGGAAAGAAGGCTGTGCCAAACTGCATACACTTGGAGAAGAAAACAGGCTTTATGGAACAGGATAACATACCAGTGATCTGGCAGGACCAAAGCCCTTCCTGCACCCCAGCTCACTGGTGGGAGGAAGAGAAACAGAGCAGGGAGGGAGTGGCGACCTATGACTGCTGAACACCCAGCCCTGGAGATCTCTGGGAGCACAAACCTACATTGCATGGTGCTCTGGTGATTACTGGAGTTGGAAAGCTAAGACAGGTGGAATACCTGGAGAGATGGAGATTCCAGCTGCTTGTGGAAAACAGGAATTCATATGCGGCTGATCTGGGTGGGCAGTCTGAGAGACTTCCTGACAGCAAGAGGGCTACCAAAGGGGCAAGTATTGCACAGAGCCATCCTGGCCAGTATGCACCAACTCGTGAACCTGAAGCCCCTGCCCTGGTTTCTAGCCAGCCAGAGGGAAGCCCTGCCTAAGGCAGCTACAAACGCAAAGCATAGAGTCTTACACCTCTGTGCTCGGCCTACTGGTTCTGGCAGTTGAGGCAGGCAGAGCAGCTGGGAAGCAGGAAACAGCTCTTTCCTCCCCTCAGGTACCAGCACCGCTCCCCTGTGACCCCTGACATCGCTCCAGGGGCTAACCAGCTCTAGAGAGTAGAGCTTCTGGGCACTAGAGGGTGCCACATACAAATATGAAACGTCAAAGGAACGTGGTTCAAACCAAAATCCCACAAACACCAGAAAAAGCACCAACAAGTGAAACAACTCATCAATCTTTCTGAAAGAGATTTCAAAATAAAAATTATAAACATGCACATGGAGATACAGAAAAATATTAAATAACTCAGGGAAGAATTCCAGACAGATTCAATCATGGGATACAGTATCAGAAATGAAACATACAATGGAGGGATTTAAAAGCAGATTAGATATAGTGGAAGAGACAGTAAATAGAAATTAGAGAAGAGGAATACAAAGAAGCTGAGGCACAGAGAGAAAAAAGGATCTCTAGGAATGAAAGAATGTAGAGAGAACTGTGTGACCAATCCAAGTGGAAAAATATTCACATTATAGGAGTACCAAAAGAAAAAAAGAGAAAAAAGGGATAGAAAGTGTCTGAGGCTGTAACTGCTGAAAACTTCCTCAATCTGGGGAAGGACATAAGTATCTCAGGCCATGGAGGTGCACAGATCTCCCAACACAAGGGACCCAAGGAGGACGACACCAAGGCATGTAATAATTAAAATGGCAAAGATCAAAAATAAGGACAGACTATTAAAAGCAGCCAGAGAGGAAAAAGATCACATACAAAGGAAAACCCATCAGGCTATCATCACACTTCTCAACAGAAACCTTACAGGCCAGAGGGAGTGGCATGATGTATTTAACCCAATGAAGCAGAAGGGCCTGGAACCAAGATTACTTTATCCAGCAAGATTATCATTAAATTTTGAAGGAGGGATTGAACGATTTCCAGATAAGCAAAAGCTGAGACAATTTACCTCCCACAAACCATCTCTACAGTGTATTTTGGAGGGACTGCTATAGATGGAATTGTTCCTAAGGCTCAATAGCTGTCACCAGAGGAAATAAAGCCAAAGTAAAGAAATTAGAACAATTAATTACTAAGCAGATGCAAAATTAAATCAACTACCCACAAAGTCAGTCAAGGGATACACAAAGAGTATGGAATGTGACACCTAACATAGGAAGAATGGAAGAGAGAAAAAAAGTAGGGGAAAAAAAACCCTTTAGATTGTGTTTGTAATATCATACTGAATGATGTAAGTTAGACTGTTAGATAGTAAGGAAGCTACCCTGGAACCTTTGATAACTATGAATCTAAAGCCTGCAATGGCAATAAGTACATACCTATTGATAATCACCCTAAATGTAAATGCTCTGAATGCACCAATCAAAAGACATAGTCACTGAATGGATAAAAAAACAAGACTCAACTATATGCTGCCTACAAGAGACTCACTTCAAACCCAAAGACATACACAGACTGAAAGTGAATGGATGGAAAAAGATATTTCATGCAACTAATAGGGAAAAAAAGCAGGAGTTGCAGTACTTGTATCAGACAAAATACACTTCAAAACAAAGAAAGTAACAAGAGACAAAGAAGAACATTGCATAATGATAAAGCGTTCTGTCTAACAAGAGGATTATAACCATTATAAATATCTATGCACCCAACACAGGAGCACCTACATATGTTAAACAAATACTAACTGAATTGAAGGGGAAAATATGCAATGCGTTCATTTTAAGAGACTTCAACAGTCCACTCACTCCAAAGGAAGATCAGCCAGACAGAAAATAAGTAAGGAGACAGAAGCACTGAACAGCACATTAGAACGGATGGACCTAACACATTTCCAGAACACTCCAATCAAAAGCAGCAGGATACACATTCTTATTAAGTGCACATGGAACATTTTCAAGAATAGATCATATAGTAGGCCACAAAAACAGTCTCAGTAAATTCAAAAGGATTCAAATTGCACCAACAAGCTCAGACCACAAAGGTATGAAACTAGAAGTAAATTACGGAAAGAAAATGAAAAATCTCACAAACACATGGAGGCTTCGCAACATGCTCCTAAGTAACCAATGGATCAATGAACAAATAAAAACAGAGATCAAGCAATATATGGAGACAACTGACAATAATAATTCAACACTGCAAAATCTGTCGGACGCAGTGAAGGCATGCTAAGATGAAAGTATATTGCAATACAGGCCTACCTCAGGAAAGAACAACTATCCTATACGAATAGTCTAAACTCACAATTAACAAAACTGGAAAAAGAAGAACAAATGAGGCCCAAAGTCAGTAGAAGGAGGGAAATAATAAAGATTGGAGCATAAATAAATAAAATTGAGAAGAATAAAACAATAGAAAGAATCAATGAAAGCAGGAGCTGGTTCTTTGAGAAAATAAATAAAATAGGTAAACCCCTTGCCAGACTTATCAAGAAAAAAAGAGTCTACATACATAAACAGAATCAGAAATGTCACTACAGACACCACTGAAATACAAAGAATTATTAAGAGTATACTATGAAAATCTATATGCTAACAATCTGGATAACCTAGAAGAAATGGACAACTTTCTAGAAAAATACAACCTTCCAAGGCTGACCCAGAAAGGAAAAAAAATCTGAACAGACCAATTACCAGCTATGAAATTGAATTGGTAATCAAACAACTACCTAAAACAAAATCCCTGAACCAAATGGCTTCACCACTAAATTTTATCAAACACTTAGTGAATACCTAATACCCAACCTCCTTAAAGTTTTCCAAAAAGTAGAAGAGGAGGGAATACTTCCAAACTCATTCTATGAAGCTAGCATCACTCTAAAACTAAAATCAGGCAAATATACCACAAAAAAAGAAAACTACACACCAATATCCTTGATGAACATGGATGCAAAAATACTCAACAAAATATTAGCACACCAAATTCAAAAATACATCAAAAAGATCATCCATCATGATCAAGTAGGATTTATTCCAGGGATGCAAGGATGGTACAATATTAGAAAAACCATCATCATTCACCACATCAACAAAAAGGACAAAACCCACACGATTATCTCCATAGATGCTGAAAAAGTATTCGACAAAATTCAACGTCCATTCATGATAAAAACTCTCAACAAAATGGGTATAGAGGGCAAGTACCTCAACATAATAAAGGCCATATATGACAAACCCACAGCCAACATTATACTTAACAGCGAGAAGCTGAAAGCTTTTCCTTTAAGATTGGGAACAAGATAAGGATGCCCACTCTCTCCCCACTTTTATTTAACATAGTTCTGCATGTCCTAGCCATAGCAATCAGACACCACAAAGAAATAAAAGGCATCCATATTGGTAAAGGAGTTAAACTGTCCCTGTTTGCAGATGACATGATATTGTATGTAAAAAACCCCAAAGAATCCACTCCAAAACTACTAGATCTAATATCTGAATACAGGAAAGTTGCAGGGTAGAAAGTTAATACACAGAAATCTGTTGCATTCATATACACTAATGATGAACTAGCAGAAAGAGAAATCAGGAAAACAATGCTGTTCACAATTGCATCAAAAAGATTAAAACATCTAGGAATAAATTAAAGAATTGAAAGACTTATACCCTGAAATCTACAAGACACTCATGAGAGAAATTAAAGAAAATACCAATAACTGGAAACATTCCGTGCTCATGTATAGAAAGAATATTGTCAAAATGACCATGTTGCCTAAAGCAATCTACACATTCAATGCAATCTCTATCAAAATACCAACAGCATTCTTCAACATAGTAGAGCAAATAGTTCTAAAATTCATAAGGAACCAGAAAAGTCCCTGAATAGCCAAAGCAATCCTGAGAAGGAAGAATAAAGCTGGGGGGATTACGCTCCCTGAATTCAAGCTCTACTACAAAGCCACAGTAATCAAGACAATTTGGTACTGGCACAAGAACAGACCCATAGACCAATGGAACAGATTAGGGAGTCTGATATAAACCCAAGCATATATGATCAACCATAAAGGAGCCATGGGCATACAATGGGGGAAATGACAGCCTCTTCAACAGCTGGTGTTGGCAAAACTGCACACCTACATGCAAGAGAGTGAAACTGGATTATTGTCTAACCCCATACACAAAAGTAAACTCGAAATGGATCAAAGACCTGAATGTAAGTCATGAAACCATAAAACACTTAGAGGACAACATAGGCAAAAATCTCTGGGATATAGACATGAGCAACTCTTTCTTGAACACATCTCGTGCAAGGGAAACAAA